TATTCCATATGTAATAAATGCTGCGCCTCAAGAAGAAGCAGGTAGTTAAACCGGCCTTGCGCCACATGATGCCCTCGTGGGGGCGGGGGTGACTAAATACCGTTCAGTACGAAGTCGGGTGACCGGCTGATCGGTTGAACTCTCTGCCTTCGGGCGGGGAGGAACCCGAACGAGGCTACGCCAAAGGGCGGAGTCTCTTTCGGGGAGGTAAACCGTTTATACGGGTTCAAAGGGCATATTTTTGGCCGAGCCCACAGACTCGGAGATCCCACGTTAAACCGGCCTTGTGACACATGATACCCTCGTGGTGGGTGACTAGATACCGTTCAGTCTGAAGTCTGGAGTGACGTCCGTCAGGAGTCTGTCAGTCAGTCAGTCAGTCAGAGCGAGCGAGTCAAGAGTCGAGTCAGAGGCAGTCCGAAACAGAGTCGCGTACAAACAATTACTACAAGACATTGGAATAGTGATACTGGTCGAGACTACATTGTTCTCTCTACTAAACCTGATTGTTCATACTAACACTTCTACTTCTTTGTATATATTCCTCTTTGTAATATATCTGTGTTGTTCCATACCTGTGTTCGAGTTCTTCTTTATTGGTTCTACCTTGGACTATCACCGTGGAACAAGGAACCGGGCCATAACAATTTCCAAGTAAGAAAAATTGTTCGTCGCAAAAAAGCACGTAATAATCGTCGAAAACAATCAGAGTAATGAAAACTTGGGAATCCAAAATTCCAGAATTGCGGGTCTGGATGTGGCCCGAAATGCTTTTAATTTGTTCACGGATTTGGTCTGATTCCAAAATGGTATGATATGTAGGTCTAGAGCCTCGAGGAGTAAGTTTGAAAAAGCGTCACACAGTGACACACTGATATTCGCATTTATTATATAGATTATTTTACCCCAAAGCCAACAAAGCCGCTTAGACTGGTTATGGAGTGTGAAAAGAATATGATTGAAAGGAAGAGGTCACAATGATGAGACCGAAGTGCTAATCTAGTACTGCGCGTGAATTCGTAAAGTCGAAGTAACAAAGAGGAAAGCTCATAAGACCATGAAAGTATTTATAGAAAAGACACAGGGAAGCTAAGTTGCAGCGGTAGGGAAAGGACTGATGCCAGGTCTGCACCAATCACATGGCAGATTCTTTAGATTCTGTGAAGAAAATCTGGATATATAACGTATGCACCAAACCAGATGTGGCGGAAATATTCAATGCCCTAATATATATATATATATATATATATATATATGTGTGTGTGTATATATTATCTGAAAATATATAGAAAATAGGAAGGAACTGGTTAGGTAAATAATCCAAAGTCCCTTAGTATTTTAGTTATTATTTTTAAAAAATAGTACTCGATACAAAAGTAGAGCATAAACATAATTATAATTAGAGCATAAATATAATTAGTAGAGCATAAATATAATTAGTAGAGCATAAATATAATTATAATTATATATATATATATATATAGAGAGAGAGAGGGGGGGAGAGAGAAATGTCCAATCCCTATTGCAGACGTTTGCTCAGGCGCATTTGTGTTTATTCAGCACTGCAGCTATGTTGAGCAGACCTTGGTTACAGTTTCAAATCCAATTTGAAAGGAGCAAGATTTCATGAAGTCGAAGAAATCCAAGAGAATGCGATGAGGAATTTTCGCCAACCCTAAAAGGAAGTTCCAGGAATTCATCCGTCAATGGGAACAACGCTGGATAATTTGTGTGACTTCGGAGGGAGACTAGTCCGAAAAAGATAAAATGGCGAATTTCTTTTTTACAGTAACTTTCGCCCTGTACCACGGGTTCGAATAATCGTAGTAAAGTAATGTGGTTAAAAGGAATTAGCAACTCTGTTTTGGGACCCAATTTCACATTGGGACGTCTCTTCCCTCTACACCGGTTTCTCGGTATTTTTCGCTGTCCTCTTCCCTGTATCCGTTTTGCCGTTCGTTCTTCCTGTCACAACTGTACGTACAGTACGATATACCCCGACAGAGACGTATTTCATCTCCGCGATGGTCCACTTATAATAGGGAATCACCAATCACTCGCCAGGATGATAGACACATTAGACATACGGGTTCCTCAGAATGGAGCGTTAACATACCCGGGTGTCCTTCCTGGATTCTATCCAACCATCTGTTATACACAGTTGCTAATGAACCAGTTTCTTGTTGGACAACAAAGAAGAAGGGTCTCTTTTGCCGGAACGACGTACTCGCCTTCTCTCAAACTAAATTCCTACATGCCAGACAAAGACGAACTCTTCTGTCGAAAATAAGGCAAGTCTTGTTCACCATTTTTGCCTTTCGACCCCGGTTCTGTTTCTCTATATCTGCCACACAAGTTTAAATAATAATTTTTATTGCTCACATTATAAACTATTGCTTAGATCAACCCTTCCGGCTTCAGGCTTCTCTAGTAAATGTTGATCTTGGAAAATTATATACAATATTGTGGCGAAAAATTACGTAGAATTAAACGAGTCAGAGTGATTTGCATCTGACGTAAAGAAAAATAAAAAAATTCTCTACCTTAATCTGCGACACATGAGTTTTTGTTTTTTTGAAAATGGCATAAAACTTCTTCTTACCTTAGTCATTCCGGAAGTGTATGATTCTGAAACGTTGTCTTTTATACAGCTTAACATGGTTCAGCCAATAGCAAACCGCATACTGATTGGTCGGACTGGAGGATGACATTTGACTGCGTCACTGAAGACGAAGACAAGAACGCTGATTGGTCAGTCGGCTGTGGTTTTGGCATAATACAAAGCAGTGAGAAAGGTATATATATATATATATATATATATATATATATATATATATATATATATCCCACTCTATCCACTCTCTCTTCGCCCAGAATTTTTTTTTAAAACCTTATATTGAAATTTTAATTTTTTTCTTCCTATTTTTTTCTTTTAATATTAAAACTTTTTCTTTCTTTCTCTTTTTTTTTCCTGTTCCTTGCGTCTGGATAAATTGACTCGATTTATTAAAAAACAATGGTCAGAAGAGATGAATGTAAATGTCCACGAAATAAATTATAACTAAATGGATTTTTAAGGATTTTGCATACATTATTATATTGCTCTGTTCTTACATTGAGCTCTCTTTGAATGAATATCCTCCTTAGAAGTTTCCTTGCAAATTATCAATTGATATATATATATATATATATATATATATATATATATATATATATATTATAATACTTTTAAAAAAATAAGATTCCTTCGCTACACAAGAGTTCTCATGTTTCAAAAACGAGAGCCGAAGCCATCAATATAATTATTAAAATTAAGTTGAATCAAGGTGTTGGATCCCGTTTCATCCTCAAGCGAAAATTTAGGAATAAGCTAACTTGTGGTTTGCGCGTGTTTATAAGTATGGTCCATTGCAGCATTAATTACTATGGGAACGGCTGGGACGGCCATCTTGGTTAGGTGGTCAGACAGTTAATTCTTATCTACAGATTCGTCACCTTCAGAAAGGTTATGCCAAAGTAGAGTTGGATATCTATTTCAAAGCTTATGGTGGCGGTCACCGTCTAGTTAGTTTACAGCGAAAGATATTTCATGGCGCGACGTCAAGTCATTAAGTGTCGAGAGGATTTTGTTTTATTATTATCTATCTGTTAATCTCTTTATTTATTTGTTTATTCAAATGGCTGTTCCATATTCAAACGTGTTGCACTGAACTACAATTTGTTTTTTGACGACCTCAAAAAGGTTTTTTTTTTCTATTTAAAAGCCAAATCATTAAATAATAACGGTGATAATAACTTAATTTTAATTATTATATTGATGGTTTCGGCTCTCGTTTTTGAAACATGAGAACTCTTATGGAGCAAAGGAATCATATTTTTAAACAAAAAATATTATAATAAAGCTCTACTTCTGTATGGAGCACTGTCTTCTTAAAAATAAAAACAAAAATACTAAAGAACCCCGGATTATGCACCCAACGTGTTCTTTTTCTATTTTCTGCATACCTGCGCTCTTATATATATATATATATATATATATATATATATATATATATATATATAATAATCGACTCTCCGTTCGTATTCGATGTATGAGGGTCAAGCAGCTCAGTTCCTAGGAACCAGCAGCCTGAAACCAGCACATGAGATTTGATTATAGTGATGAAAGTTGTCGGATGTAATATCAGATTGGGTATTTCTTCCCTCTACACCGTTTTCTTGGTATTTTTTCGTTGTTTTCTTCCTCCTATCACAACTGTACATTCAATACGATGCACCGTGACAGAGACGTCTCTGCGGTGGCCTAATTATAATTTGTGAATCACCGATCATTCGTCCGGATGATAGAGATCCGGGCACCTCAGAATGGAAGACTAACACACCTCTTTTGACGGAACGCCGTACTCGCTTTTCTCTCAAATCGAAGTCCTACCTGCCAGACAAAGACGAGAATAAGGCAAGTCTTGTTTAACATTTCTGCCATTCGAATCCGGTTCTCGTTCGCTATGTCTGCCACAAGAAATGAAAACAGCGACAAAAAGGAGAAGCTATCACTTTTAGAATATTTAATTAAAATATCAGGCTTTGACGAGATCGTGGGATCAAATAATAATGAAGTTTTCCTTTGCTGTCAAGTCATGATAGCGTTTTCGGCCTCGGGCTGCAGCTTTGAAAATTTCTCTGTCGAATTCACAACTCGAAACGTAATAAGGAATTCAAATGCCGTTTCGAGGCAATTCCGTTTTATTGAAACGGACATTATTGCGAGGAACGGGAAACAGACATCAGGGTGGGGGGTTAGACAATACGAAGAGTGTCGTTTGGTAACACCGCTAAATCGAAATAAACAGTACTTTATTGGAAACTATAGGAAAGAAGAAACTAAGGGAGACGAGAAGAGAGAGAGGGAGAGGGAGACAGAGTGTGAGAGGGAGTGAGAGAATGAAAGAGAGAGTGAGAGAAATGGAGAGTGAGAGAGAGTGTGAAAGAGAGTGAGAGAATTAAAAAGAGAGTGAGAGAAAGGGAGAGTGAGAGAGTGTGAAAGAGTGAGAGTGAGAGAATAAAAGAGAAAGGGAGAGTGAGAGAGAGGGTGAGAGAGAAAGTGTGAGAGAATGAAAGAGAGAGTGAGAGAAAGGGAGAATGAGAGAAAGAGAGAGAGAGTGAGAGAGCGTGTGAGAGAGAGATTGAGACAGAGTGAAAGAATGAAAGAGAGAGTCAGAGGGTGTGTGAGAGAGAGAGTGAAAGAATGAAAGAGAGATTGTGAGAGAGAGAGAGAGTGAAAGAAAGACAAGGTATGAGAGAGAGAGAGAGAGAGGGAGTGTGAGAGAGAGATTGAGAGAGAGTGAAAGAATTAAAGAGAGATTGAGAGAGAGGTTGAGAGTGAGAGAGAATGAGGGAGAGAGAGAGTGTGTGAGAGTGAAAAAGAGAGTAAAAGAGACAGTGAGAGTGTGAGAGAGAGAGAGTGAGAGAAATAGAGAGAGAGAGAGCAAATGTGAGAGAGAGAGAGAGAAAAAGTGAGAGACCTTCGGTGATAGAAACAGAGATAGCGATAAATATATCAACGGAGGTAAGTCGGTAGCCTTCATGATTAACAATCATTTATTTTGCCCCACAAGTATTTTTCAATATAATCTCCTCCTATGCCAATTTACTTGATTCGAATAATCACATAGTTTGGCCGTTGTTAAATATATATATATATATATATATATATATATATATATATATATATATAAATTATTTCATGTCTATCTTTGCATCTCAATCCCTTCATCTATCTATCTATCTATCTATCTATCTATCTATCTATCTATCTATCTTAGTATGTTTATATCTATCTATTTATCTATTCATTTCAGACTATTCATATCTATCTCCTTCGTTTTATCTATCTCGGTTTGCCCGCATCTATCTATCTATCTATCTTAGTATGTTCATATCTATCTATTTATCTATTCATTTCGGATTATTCATATCTATCTCCTTCGTTTTATCTATCTCGGTTTGCCCGCATCTATCTATCTATCTATCTATCTATCTATCTATTTCTATCATTTCATCCATCTATCACAGACACATCTTATATCTATCTACTTATTTCAGATTCTTCGATCATTTCATCTAAGTCCTTTCATATGATCTATCTATACATCTTTTCATATTCTATCTATCTATCTATCTATCTATATATATATATATATATATATATATATATATATATCCATCAATAGTCCTCTTTATAGATAAACTGATAGATATTAACCAATTAGATATAGAGAGAGAGAGAGAGAGAGAGAGAGAGAGAGAGAGAGAGATGGCGGAACAAAAACATCATGATCAAAAATGAATGAAAGACAATAGAAAAGGCGAACTACACATGCACATATACTGATATATATATATATATATATATATATATATATATATATATATATATAATGCAATTCGCAGCATCTGAAGATTGCGTTTTGCATGACACTCCGAAACGTGCTGCCGATGAGAAAAAATCTTTATCTATTCATATATATAGTGTACAGCTTTGCTATATTGCGTAGACCACTGTTTTATTAACACAGCATTCAATATATATATATATATATATATATATATATATATATATATATATATATATATATATATATATATATATATATATATATATATATTGATAATAATAAGGACGTAGACTTTAATTATCCCCGTTGTTTATAATTTTATTTCGTGAACACCGAGATGTTCATCTCATCGGATCGCCGAGAAGGTTTCCGTTCTACATAGAGCTCTCCCTGGTAGAACGTATATATATATATATATATATATATATATATATATATATATAGAGAGAGAGAGAGTCTTTTATATCATATCTTAATATCTTTTGATAACTTGGAAGGTGAATATTAACAAGAAGTGGTCATTTCATAAAGACGACCTTCAAGATCAGGGGTTTTATCTTGTACGATATTTCCTTAAATATCTTCCATTACCAGCATTTCTGTAAATTTTCGAAGAGGCTGCCATTAAAAAAAAAGATTCTAACACCACATTAGTGCTATATTGAAATCGTAACGATCATTTGAATATCAAAACGAAATGGCGTCTATTTTTGATTTCTGCCGTCGTTTCAGATAACGAGATTAGTGTTTCCTTTTTATCTTCTTTTTCATTTATTTCCGGAATGATGGCCAGAGCTTCTCGCTGTTAAAAAAATTGGTAGCAAGAAGTGTGAAAAATATATACGTATGATAGGAACAGACTGAGAAGGAGTAGATAGATAGATAGATAGATAGATAGATAGATATGAACAAACTAAGCTAGACAGAGAGAGAGTTACTGAGTTACGTAGAGAGATAGATAAATTGCTAGAGAGAGAGAGAGAAAGACAAAATCTCACAGACAGACAGATAGATAGGTAAATAGAGAGATAGGCAGATGAAAATCATGAAACTTAGATAGATGTATACATAATAGATATGTTGAGAGATATAACTACTGATATAGAGAGATATAATTTCATATAGAGCAAAAACAATTCTGATAGATAGATAGATAGATAGATAGATAGATAGATAGATAGATAGATATTAACATATTGAGATAGATAGATAGATAGATAGATAGATATACTTAAGTTCGAAGGATATGCTGCCAAGTCATCAGGCACGAATTACTTACAGAAATAATCGACGCCTGATGAGTTGGTAAAACAACAAAACTTGAGTTGCACTTCGAACGTAGGTATATGTATATTTTTTAATATATATTCCTTAGCTCTGTCGAACCACATTGCGCACTGTTTTGTTTACACCTTAAGAAAATAAGTAAATATTTATTCGCTTACCTGTGTATGTACGATAACGCATTTATATACGGTTGCAAATATGTAGTTACCTGATTTATCCACATTAATACAGATAGATAGATATATAGTTAGAAATAGACCGAGGAAGACATGAATAAAATGAGAGATTATATATATATATATATATATATATATATATATATATATATATATATATATATATATATATATATAATGCATGTTTCATTAAATAATATAGACAAGTTTCGTCTATTTATTTTAAGTAAGTTCCTTTCATATTGTCTGATAAGCTTAATAACATTTTCATTGAAAGACGAAAGGAAAACACTATATTGATACATGTTTTAATCCTATCTAAGTTTTCGGCTTACACAAGCCATTACTAAAGATGACAATTTCAATAAATCAAACAACACACGGACGAAACAACAATGATAGTCCGCCCTTGCTGCATGAAAATTTCCAAGTAACAACAAACTCGTATATACGAGACGCGGAAGCGAAAATGACCTCGCAAGATAGATAATAGAGAGACAAATAGGAAGAGAAAACGCTGATAGACAGATAAATAGACAGATATGAAATCATGGGCTTTGTTTTTATGTTCAGAATATAGATATTTTATATATTAATAGTAGATATAAAAAAAGATTGAAGTATATATTATACATATATTATCGTATAGCTGAATTGTACAGCACGCAAGATAAAATGGCGTTTCCGTATATAAATACAGGTTCGATTCTTATCGGAGGCTGCACATTTTGTACGAAATTTCTCGAACATTCCGACCGCTAAATGTATTTAATACAGTTTAAATAAAAACAGATAATTTACCTACATAAATTTTATCTATAAAAAGTAACGTATAAACAGAAAATATTTTAAATAATTGCCAGATTATTCCATTTTATTATATATATATTTATATATATATATATATATATATATATATATATATATAAGTAAAGATAACAAATCCGTTAGTATATAATTCAAGTGGATCCTAATAATATAAAATATTAAATCTGATCCACAAATAGAGCCGAATGTATTTATTATTACAGAGCAAATAATTAATAAAACAAGAAAATTCCAAAATCACCTCATATGGGGAATAGTGTATACCCGGCAGACAAAAACACTAGTCCTCTGACTCATCAACTCCTAGTACACACACACACACACACTATATATATATATATATATATATATATATATATATATATATATATATATATATATATCACACACACACACACACATATATATATATATATATATATATATATATATATATATATATATATATATCAATTAAACGGTGTAGATCAATTTACATTACATGAATCATTCAGGAAAAAACAGATAGAGAAGTTAATGATTTAAATGTCGAGAATACATCTTCGCAAACAATTTTAAAGTTTCGGATTACATCACTATTTTCGTTGTCCTCTTATTACCGAGTAGTAAAAACAAGAACAAATCTATTTTCATAACTGAAGATGTCCATAGAAACATACGAAAGCTTGTAAAAAACTAAAAAGACCTTATGCAACTGGAATTTATAAACAGGGATCATAACATTCATTTACAGGTTCGGGGTTAATGTACTTTATTAAGATTGTTTGCGAAGATGTATTCTTGCCATTTAAATCATTAACTTCTATATCTGTTTTTTTTGTATGAATAATTCATATATATATATATATATATATATATATATATATATATATATATATATATAATGTCTTTTTTTTTCCGGAAGACAAGATGAGAATCACAATGACATGCTATGCTTTACGAATCTTACACCAGGTCATGTTCTCAAATGACACATATTTGTTACCTGATGAAAGAACTGCAAATAATTTCTTCATCATCCTAAAACAGCCATTGTTTTCTGTTCGTGAAAAAAAAAGAGAACCTATATAAAAACTAACAAATTATTTATTCTGTGTTAGACAATACACACACACACAAATATGCGCATATACACACATACGTGTGTGTGTGGCTATGTGTGACTATGGAAGTATGTACTTTATTGTTAAAGTAATTTAAACATTTACATTTAAGGTGAGCGTTTGGCGTTTCCATATAAACAGTAACCAACATCTTTTATATTTCAGCCGAAAAGTTTATATATATATATATATATATATATATATATATATATATATATATATATATATATAAATGACCATTTCTGACCAGACAGAAATTTTGTTTACGTCTGTTTTCTTTTTTATGGAAGAACGCACATTGCTGGCGAACCGGAAGTTATCTCGGAGTGAGCTATCAATTGCTAAGGGGAGTCGCAGTGTGTAGCAATAAAGATGGAAAAAATTGCAGCTAACGGAAGCTACATAAGTCGATAGCCGATCAGTATCGGCAGGGTCACCTTGTAGAGGGGGGTATGATGTTGAAAGACCCGAAACCCCTAAAGAATCTCGTCTAGAAACGATGTAACAAATCATCTAATAGATGTTTTTTTTAAATATATATATATATATATATATATATATATATATATATATACGAAAAGACGATGGATATAAAAAGTTTCCAAACAGATAATAAAATTTTATTTAACGGAACGTATTTATTTATTTATATATATATTTGATATTTCAAATTATTCAATTTTCATCAAAATAATGTTTAAGTAATTACAAATAAATTAAAATTTTAATTTATTTAATTTTTTTAAGAAACAGTTATTTCTGATGAAAAATTGAGGACAATATCAAATATCAAAAT